TCAGGAAGGGGCTTGATCCATGAAAACTCATACTGAACTATAATAGACTTTAAGGTGCTCTTTTTAAATTTTTGTTTGGCAGGAGTTTCTTTCTCTTTTTGCTTGGTTTTGTCTGATACGCTTACAAAGATTAAGAGTGCGACCAGATTGTTGAATTAATGTTGAAGCTAGTTCAAGTTATTATTATTATTTTTTTGAAGGAGGGGGAACTATTCTTTTATTCCCAACCAAAAATGGGAGATTCACATAAAGAGCAGTCATTTATTAGCCTCCAAGATGTTACAGCATGTTTGGAAATTCTCCTACACTAAAGCAGGGCGACGGGTAAACCCTGCATTGAAAGTACACACATTCAAAATATGGAAAATGATTATATGGGGTCAAAATATGGGGTGTGGCCAGCTTGACAGGGTTAGAGATCATTCAAACCAGATTTCTAAGAAAAATATTAGCCCTACCTTCTGGAACACATTGCTACTAAGATCTGAAGTAGCAATGAGACCTTCCATTTCAGGCAGAACTGGACTGAGTGTCCTATATTTCTGGCTAAGAATGAACAACCAAGAGGATGGCTGCTTTTCCAAGTTCTCCTCGGTTAAACAATTACACAAGGGCAGATTGGGCTCAGGATTGCGTCACAGGAATGTTAAAAATTGGGCTTGCAGCCTTAATTTATCCCCAGTCTAGGTGCCGGGGATAAATTAAGGAAGCATGTATTTGGTCAAAGCAAAGGTACTGACTTTAGGTTCGTTCTGTCTAGTCATTTTTTTCTACCTTGTATGGCCTTATCATGGAAAATCAGATTCAGCAACCCAGGGACAAAGACGTTTCCACAGATAAGGAAAGCATTTACCAAACTATGATTTCAGACCATGCCATCAACATTTTGGACTGGCAGATATGTGAGAAGCACCAGGGTTCAGAAGGAATAGATATCTAGAACATACCAAACAGATGACTCCCCATTCCCCAACTCTTCTACTGCCCACTGTATATCTGCCTGCCTGAGAGCAATATTTCTGTCCCGGTATCTGTCAACATAGATTGACAGCCTATTGAAGAAAAGACTAGTCTTCTTGCTCAGAGACACTAGCCCATTTCACACTTGCACCTCTCCAAGAGAGATCTGTGAAATTCTTTTGTGATCTGTGTCATGCATTATGCTGTCACTGGTAAACTCAGTATATATTGTCTTCTTTTACTGTACGCACATTTTCTGTTAAACCTTTGCAGCAGTTAACTTGTATTTCAGGTAAATGACATTCTTAGGCTATATTAACAGATGTTTGTGCATTTTTATATTGTTCACAATTTCAAGTAATGAAATCACTAATTTTAAATGCTGAAACTTCTCCCATAACATTGTGTACATTTTCTATACTGTATTGCTAATACGTGTTGATACTGTACAGTGGTGCCTCGCATAACGAGCGCACCGTTTAACGACGAATTCGCATAGCGATCTGTTTTTTGGGATTACTAATGTGATTGCATACCGATGCCTAGATAGGCAAAAACTCGCTTTGCGACGATCGGTAAGCGTTTTGCTTACCGATCTTCGCATAGCATTTTTAAAAATCAGCTGATCAGCAGTTCCAAATTGGCCGCCGGAAGACCCAAAATGGCCGCGCGCAGCGTTTTCGCACCCTGCCCTCACTTACCGAGGGCACGAAAATGCCTGAGCTATGGAGGGACATCGCATAATGGTGTGTTTTGGGCCCATTTGGAACGCATTAAACTTCCAATGGGCTTTTTTGTACCGTATAGCGATGTTTCCCCATAGCGATGGTTAATCCTGAACGGATTAACCTCGCTATGCGGGGCACCACTGTACTGTGCTTTGCAATGGCCTATGGTCCTGTAAATAATAAAAACACCTACCTATCAACTGCCTACTCAAAGTCAAATTGCCATCTAACACTTTCCATTACGAAAGAGTTACCTTACTATGTACAGTGATGCCTCGCTTAACAGGCGCCCTGTTTAACGATGAAATCGCATAGTGATGAAGATTTTGCGATCGCATTGTGATGTTTTAAATAGGGAAAAATCGCTTTGCGATGATCGGTACCCTGTTTCGCTTATCGATCATCGCAAAGCGATTATTTTTTAACAGCTGATTGGCGGGTCCAAAATGGCCCCCGGGTAAAAAAAATGGTCGCCCGCTGTTTTCTGGGATGGATTCCTCACTTACTGGGCAGTGAAAATGGCCACCGTATGGAGGATTTTCGTTTAAAGGTGAGTCTGAAGCCCATAGGAACGCATTGAAGGGGCTTCAATGCATTCCTATGGGCTTTTTAATATCGCATAGCGACGAAATCGCTTTGCAGCAATTTTTGCTGCACCGATTATCATCGCCATGCGAGGCACCACTGTATATACTGTTTGAGGAAAATCAATTTCTCTCCTAATTATGGTAAAGACTGCAGTTAAGCAAAGATGGGAAAAGAAGCCTTAGGGAGATGCAATGGTGTCGTAGTCTCTGCTACTCAGAAAGTGCCAGAGCTCCGACTCTGTGAGCAACGGCTGTACTAAATCACTGCCTATCAATCTGTGCTCCTTATTTAATTAATGTCAGTAATTTATTATGTTTTGGCATAGCCATTCTTCTAAGAAGTCAGGACTCTGTAAGTTGAGTTTTATCATAACAACCCTGTGAAATGTCAGGTAGAAAAACAACGCCATGGTCCAGAGACACCAATTCAACTATACAGCCAAGAAAGGATGTGAAATCCAGTTTTTCTGGCCCAGATCTGACATTCGGCTCACTGTATTACACTGGCTCTCTAGCGTAGCACCGAATCTAATCAACCACATGAACTACACAGTATTCAAACTATAATCCAACAGCTTCTTGTGAACTGACATTGTGCAATCTGACCTAAAGGAAGAGGATTAAAGTTCCAGTGTAGCAAGACATTCACAAACAAATCACAGTTCCAAGTTTTAATGTATCAAGTGAATAAAGAAAACACAAGAACAGTGAAGTTGGCCGCATCATCTGGGGAAAAAATCCAAAATAAAAAAGCTAAAATACATATCAGTAGGGAATCTTGATCAGGCCAACTCAAATATCTCAAAATATGGGAAAGTTCTTCACAACTCTTCATCAGGCTAAACAGTAAACAAAGTAGAATTAGAAAAAACTGCTGTGATTGAAGCCATGGAGTCTGCCTCAGATGGCAGCAACGTAACCTCTAACTTTCAGCTCCACTGGGCAGGGCTCTGCCTCTCTTTGCCCCTGAGAGAGCGCGCGAGACACTCCCCCCCTGTGCAGGGTTCTGTCACGACCGGAACCTAATGCGATCAATGCACAGAGGAGGAAGACAGCTGTGTGGAGGGAGGTAGAGGCACGTGCACACCCAGCTTAGAGGGAAGCTTGGATGACAACCTTAAGATAGCAAATGATACTGGGCTTCAGACATGAAACAAAACTGAAGTAGTAAATCATGTTTCTTGGAACGAGCTGACATACAACTGCTTATCATTTGAAGATGGCACCATTGAGATTATTTATACTGATATCTTTTACACACTTTGACAGGACTGATTGTTGCCACTGTTTTCAGTAAACTGTAGTTTGAATATCTGCAGAGGTGTGAACCTACATCATACAGAATATCTTGATAATACAGGTATGGAATATGGGCACAGACTGAATACACAATCTGCAGTAACACCTGCAGACCCCTGTGTGCTTGCCTAAAGCAGGCTTTTTTTCTTTTTAAAAAAGAATCAAATTCACTTTTATTAATGATCTCCAGTGCCATGTCATATGCCATATCTTAGGTTCCCCTGACCTGCACATGCAAAGGTTTTTTTTTGGGGGGGGGGTTGGTGGATTATGAATGCAAAATACTATAACCTCTTGGATTATATAACCTTTTGACTGAGAAGTCTCTAAAAATCAATGCTGGATTACAGACCTCATCTAAAAAATTAGTAGTTATTATCTTCTTAAGTTAACTCTGATTCATAATATGTAGAATCCAACTATTTGCATGATTGCTTGGAAATAATCCTCACTTCAGTGGAATTTACTCCTAGTTTCACATCTACAGGTAACTGAAGAATATTGTGAAATGAGAGTTGCAGGAGCTCTCTCAGGGTTGAGCTAAGTACTACCAGCACTGAGACACCAAAATGTAGCCTCCTTCAGTATGTATTATTTCCCTGATGCAATAATTCTTTTGACTACAGTGACACAAAGATCAGGAAAAGCAGCAACTGACCGGCAGGTACAGGGTTATAGCAAAACATAGACTATAATTGTTTTGCGTTTTCCTGCTCCCTGCTGCCATCAAGTGGTACCCACAGGAAATTCAAATACACCTCTATATTTGCTCCAATTGGGCTGATTATCATTTGAGTGCAAGTTTTTAGAAAACTTTAAATAACTGAGGAAGCCTTAAATTGACATATTTTAATGCAAAAATGAGCTCCAACTGGATAAGCACAGATAATATCTCCATTGGTTGTTCTGGGTTTTTTGGGCTCTAATATCCCCATTAATCATATGCTTCAATGATTAGCTATCTTTTAATAATACCTATAGCATATCTTACATATACATGCATTTATTAACTCTCTTTTTGGCTGATTTGGGGGAGGGTGTCATGTTAAATTACTTCTGTAGTTTTATTCCCACCCATTTTCTTAGTCAAATAGCATTCTGGTCTTATACACAAGTGGTCGGATTTAATACAATATAGGTTTTGTTAAAGCAGTAATGTTGTCTTTCATAACAATTCAATAGAGTACAAGAAAAGAACATGGATGATAACAAAAACAGCTACTGTAGGAGATTACTACTCATAGAAGGGGCTATAATTACGATGACTATTTGAAAAGAGATTTGGGCATTGTGCAATAAAGCTATTGAAGAACAAGCTTTAAACAAGAAATTGACAAGTGGGGAAATATAAAGGAATTATAGAATTTAAAAAAATATTAGGTAATTAGCATCTACTATAAATCTCAGATGTTTTAAAAATATCTACCTGTTGGTGTAAGGCAGTCTTTCCAATCAAAATAACCTGCATAAATGCCAGGTTCCAATGAGCCTACTATGGGGTCAGCTTTTAGTTCAATGTATATTTCAAACATTCGTTGATCAAGTTTTTTTAATGAATCCATGATAATCTATAAGAAAAGGAACAAATGTTAACTCTTATTAGCATGAACGGTTTATGTGCTATTTCCTCTAATCTAGCAAACAGGATGGAATTCAAAACAACTGCAGAATTCAGAACACTATGTTTTGTAAGATGTTATTTACAAAACAAAATGGTTATTAACAGAAGGCTTCATAGGTAACTGACAGAACCTTAAAACTGAAATAATATTTTGTCTGCTAGGGGTATTCTACATAACGGTTGTGTTCAGGTGAAATGGTAAATCATGGTTTAGTTAAGAGAATGAGCCTAGACCACCTGCTTTGGTTCACGTGATTTCTTCTCTCCTTTGCTGTGAAGAGACCAGATTGAAAGTTTCCGATTCTTTGTAAGTTTACTTTAGTTTAGTGGTTTCTCTAAACTCTGAACAATGGTAAATATGAACTATGATTAGTGGAAAAAACTGCTTAAAATGGATCAGAAGGTGACCAATCCAGCAAAAGGTAATTGTTGCCTTTTTAAATGAATATGAAGGATGCCAAATTGTGGATGTACTATATTGATTCTACTCATATTTAGCTCTGAGCCACCTGTAACTTAATATGAAGAAAACTGTGATAGAAATATATGTTAAAATATAAGAAAGATGTCTTTCTCTAATCAATACTTCCGACTACAGTCAGGATCATAGTATAAAGGACCTGGAATTTTCAGTACTCCAAAAAGCTGGCTGAATCCACAAAGATATTCTCAAAACATATCCTGAGAACACAAGATGAATGTGTTGCTGATTGTCTGTTCATAAAAGAACTTATTTATGTTCTTACATGAATCTTAATATGACCTATTTTGGACTGCTACCAAAAAGTCAAATGCAGTCTAGAGCAAATACTTACCTGAGTAATCTTTTCAACTCCCTGGAAGCCAAGTTTTTCAAAGTGCTCAGCTAGATTTAGAAAGGTGTGACGTTCTAAATAGCAGCAGTTACTAAGCACAATTAAAAGCCTCCGTTCCTAAAACAAGGAAGATTTTAAGACAAGAAAAATGCATTAATACTACGTACAAGAATAATGCATAGGTATGGAACAGAAGTAATGAGATACTGTTTTTGTTTTGTGCTGTCAAAAGACAACCCTAACAGGATTTTGTTAGAAGTTCAAGGAGGGGAGTACCATTGTCACCTCCTAGTGAGTTTCCATGGCCAAGCAGGGGTTCAAACTTAAGTCTCCTTTCCAATTTCAACAGCCTATTTACAACCCCAAAGAGTACCGTAATTACTGCTATCTAAAATGGAAATCAGGCTTAGCCCACAAACTATGAACATAGCAGCACTATTTAAAAATTAAAATAGAAGATGTATTGCCACTGCATTTTAAAGAACCAAATTAAAATTGGCTATACTGGGATCCTGTTTCAATGTCAAGTAGAGGACTGCTCAAGTTTATTTCTTTTAATTTGCAGAGTCTATACTTACTAAAGATAAACCAGAATCTTCATGGATGCTTCCAAATAAATCTGAAGATGAAACGTCAACTGAAAGACTAAGAGATTTGACAAGAAGTTATGAGTTAAGCACTGATGGCTTGATTCTAAACATATAGGTCAGAATGTTATTGGAGTTGCACAGTGTAAAGTAGCAATGCCATAACCACTGTGCACAATTTTGACAGTTTTCTGTCATGTATATCAGCATGCCTGGGTCACACATTCAGTCTCATCGCTAGGGACATGATAGCCAGATAGAAAAGTGCAAAAACCACTTGTGCTATTCCTTTATGCACTTAGTACTTCACAATATGGTTTAGGCCTTAAAGTACATCTATATGGCAAACCTATATTTTGTTTTATATTAGTTGATTGATAGGTCTTGCACAGAAAAACATGCTGCTTTACTAATCTTACTGACATTCTTTTAGTGATCATCTACACAGACATAATGTTTTGTGTTTTGTGCTTCTATAAAGTTCAGAAATTTCTAAACTAGGGCAACAGAACTCTTGGTGAAAAGTCTGTGGCCAGCTCTCTAGGTGCTTGAAGGGGTATTGGTCCTTCCTCCTCACTTCCTTTTTGACTGCTGCAGCAATAGCCTTTGCAGGAAGTTTCTGCCTTGAGCCTATTAATGCTTCATGTGGTTTATTGAAAAGAAGCTTGGCTAGGTCCTTTTTTAAAAACTTATGGCAGACCTCTGTGGACTGTACAGAGACAACAAAGAAATTCCTAAGGAAGAAGGAATGACTATTCAAACTGTTCAGCTATGCACAGGCACTAGATATCACTAGTAAGTTTTGGAGCATGGGTGGAATATTCACAATTCCTCTAAATTTAGTGGTATCTGAATGACCAAGCTACGTACTTGCATCACTTCACCATCTTCTGTTCAATAATGGTTCAAAGAATAGCTTAATAGATATATATGATATATCTCAAGCTTGAAGAATAAAACCAGCTTTAAAACTTGGAATCAGAGGTATGAGTAATACAAGCTAAAAGTCTTTAGTATTGATGTTCAAACTCAAGGTAACAACAGAATGACTGCAGTTGTCTACTGCAGCTATTTTCTTTAATTTGCAGCTTAAAGATGCCAGTCATGCAGGAATAGTATCCTGATCTTTACATACGCATTACCCCATCATACTGCTGGAAACTGGCCTTCTTCAGAACTCAGGAATAACAGCGCAGTAGAATACAGTAAAAAATATAAATAAACCTCACTGGGTTATTTTACTTACTGTGTACTATCCACATCACTGTCAGCTTTTGTACTCAGTTGTTCCAGACAGTCAATGAATACCTTTAACACAAAAACAAATCTCTATATTTAACTTCATTATTTAAATTATTAGTAATATTATTACAAAACAGTGATATTTAAAGGCACATTTTCCTTTACATCTCTTTTCACTGTCACACTATATTTTCCCCTTCATTTATGCAACTCAGGTTTTAATTGATCTGTAATGAATTTACACCTGTGGAAAGATGATGATTTCACCAGAAGAGAGAGAGTCTCAGGAATAAAAAACTTCCTAGTCTATCCTGTGGCTTTTCCGTCTCCATGTGATCCCTTTCATTATTCAGAAGCCACTAGACAGAAGCAGGATGTCTTTTACTACTGAAAATCTCCCCTGCTGGTAATGTCATTCAACAGGTGATTTTTTTGTAATTAAAGATTTTCTCCTCCTGTCCTGTGGGTCCCATGCAATGAAAGGGATTATGTGAGTTGGAAAAGCTGCAGGACAGATACAGGTAGTTTTTGTTATTGAAACTCTTCCTCCTTCTAGTTATGCTAATAGGACGTCAGCCTAAGTGTTTTTAATTTTACTATACAAGTTAGTTTTTAGGAGTCCTGACCTCTACACACAACAACTCAACTTACATTAATGGAAAGAAAGTATTTAATATGTAACATCAACATGTACAAATATATGTGTGTACCAATGCCTCAGCTCCCAGTGTTTCAGTCTGGGTTGTTGGTAAAAGCAAGAAACACCTGATTTTAGGAAAATACATACCTTCCAACCTTGTATGTTGTTTCTAAAATAAATCTGGATGCAAGAGAATTTGCAGAGAAAAGGTGCTTAAGCCTGCCCCATGCTCACCTACTCTCTAAATGTTAAAATTCTTTTTCACTGCAAGCCAAGCTCAGGACCCAGAAATAAAAATGGCTGAGGGAAGAAAAGGCTGGGAAATTGTATTACATGGGATAATCAGCAGGAATGTCCATGCTGCCTTCTTAGTTCTGATCTGCTTCTACAAATGCTTCCTTGGCCCCAGCATTGCATCCCGAAATTGTGCAGTGAAAAGTTAATGTGTAAGACCAGCACAGGCCCTGTCTTCTTTTCATATTGTTTCATATATGAAGGATCTCATCATACTGGTTTTGGCATCTACGCTGCTGAAATCAACTCATTCCACAAAATCTCAATGAACTGAATTGATTTTAGAAGCAAAGTATTTTAAAAAGCCCTTGCTGGCCAGTTGAAAAAAAAACTTGCTTTAAACAATGCCTAAATGTGGTTCATACTGTCACAGTGACCACAGTCTAAGTGAGTCTCCCCAATAAATCCACTAATTAAGTTCTCCTTTAATATATTCCTATGACCCTTTCTGAATTTGCATGATTTTCCTTCATCTTCAGTTTGTTTGTTTGCGTTTTTAATTTGTAAATTTTTTGGGGGGAGATGGGCTGACACTCTCTAAAAATCACCTTGGTTTTGCAAGAGTACTCAGAAACTCTCAGTGGAGAGGACTAGCAGAGACCACCTAGAAAATATGGAATGTAGATCCTATGGAGGTTTTTTTGGGTGTGTGTGTGCACAAAATGCTAGTTTCAGACTGAGACTCTACGGTTTGTAGTGAAGTTGTGTAATTCTGCACTGCAAACAGGTGTGCGTGTGTTATGCCTAAGCCTCAAGCTCATCAGCTGCATATAGAGAAGACAGGATGCAAGCCCCAATATGAATCACAGAGCATTGGAACTACTTTACTTGAAAGTAAAGCGTTGGCATTGACCTCCTCAACTCCCTTGTATTTTCACCCACTTCCAAATTCTATTTGCACAATACAATTGCTCTTTACTAGAAACAAAGAATAAACGAACAAAAAATCCCAAAACCCATACTATATCCTCAAGCACACTATATTCATTAGGAAGAAGCAATTTCAACAATGAAGTCCAGTGCTGGCTTGTCTGTGCTAATCATCAATTGATTTTGTGGGCAAATTCAAAGGGTTGGTTTTAGCTCATACAATTCCGGATGGCTTGGCATTCCAATAACTGAAAAGTCTCATCTCCTAAGATGACAAGAAAGATAGGTACCGTATTTTTCGCTCCATAAGACACACTTTTTCCCCAAAAAATGTTGGGCGGAAAAGTGAATGTGTCTTATGGAGCGAAATCGCCACCTTCAGGGACTCTTTTAAGGCTTGGGAAGCTTCAGAAGAGTCCCTGAAGGTGGCAATTTCGCCCCCTCTGGCCCCGTGGGCGGAGGGCAGGGTGAGTCTCCAAATGGTCCCAGGGTGTGTTCCGTAAGATGGACCTCTCCATAAGACACACCAAATTTTTAGAAGAAAACAGGAAAAAAATAATTTGGGAATTTCGGCCTGCTCGACCCTTCAGACTGAAGGGTTCTGGAAGGCACTCTCGGACCCTTTGGAGGCTTCCCCCACCCCCACCCCCGCTGGCCGAGCAGGCCGAAATTCCAAGATTATTTTTTTCCTGTTTTCTTCTCCTAAAAATTTGATGCGTCTTATGGAGAGGTGTGTCTAATGGAGTGAAAAATACGGTATATCCATCTATTATGGCCCAACTGTTGCCAATTCCTCTTTATGTTATTTCACCTCTGCTGTGTGTGTATGAAAAAATGAAGGATATATTGGGTGCTTTACGTGCTATAATCAACAGTTCCATATTGCTTCTGGATAATAGCTTAACTATCATTCATATTTGTTTCTTCTAGTGATTACCAGATTTTTGAATGCTTTTAACAATCACTTTGAGATGCTTTGTTGGTTCATTCTGTGACTGATATTTGTCAACTTAGAGATATATTTCTGTTACCTGCATGATGTTAATGATCAGCTGGCATACATCTTCCTGTATTCTTGGCTGCTGAAAAACCTGCAGAAAAATTCGTCAGAACAACTGAGTGAAATGGCTTCCCAAGAAAAAAACAAAACCTATCACCACCCCATATTTTATTACCAACCTGCAGTAGTCCAGCAAACCCATTAAACAGAGAGTAAAATAAACTAATTGTAGACGTCTAACTTCTTTTGTTGACTTTCTTCAGATACCCTATTATAAAAATCCAAATCATAGTTTTGTGAAGGATGTACTATAAGTATAAAACACTGGTTGTTACTAGAGTTGCTAACAGACCACTCTGGATGCTTTTGGTGTTTTTCCTATATAGGAAAGCAAAGCTGTTTTTCTACACACAATGTGGCAGAGGGGGGACTGTACAATGTTTATGTGTGTAACATATAGTTTATGGGCTCTATGTAGCTGTTCAAAGGGTCCAGATCTACTCCTTAGTGTTCATATAAGCCCCCCACGCTTTTTAAAAAAAGTTGCCTTTGCCTCCGCCAGCTACTTTAGGCCTGAATTGGCAGCTTATTACAAACCAAGTACTTGTAGGGGCAAAGCATTTTTAAGGTAGGGGGTAGAGGGCATTCAAACACCTTTCTGAGTGGGTAGAACCTAGCTCTCTGACAGTTGGCCATCCAGACAGAATGCATTCTGTGACTTGATCTCTTATCTGTGGTAAAATTGGTATATATTGTTACATTCATTTTGCATTCATTTTGAGTGTGTGTCATAGAATCAGGCTGCTTTTTACGAGGACAGATACTTGACCATAATAGTACTTACCTACAGAAATGAGCAAATGTTGAATTCCTTAACATTTTTATAATACATACATTGGCATTGTATATTAGGACTCAACTGCTTGAGTAATATATTTTTAGTTCGTACTGTGTAATGGTGACATAAATAGATCCTGCACTATGTCCACACCATCATCTTAAAACGGTATAGCTGGAAGGGACTCTATGGCTCATTGAGTTCAGCCTCTGTCAAGGAGGCACAGTGGGAAATCAAACTCCTACCTCTGGATCTGCAGCTAGATACAGTGGTGCCTTGACTTACGAACTTAATCTGTAATGGAATGTTGTTTGTAAGTCAAAATATTTGTAGGTCAAAGCAGCATTTCCCATAGAAATACAATGAAACCTGATTAATCCGTTCCGGCTGTTTTTTGTTCTTATGTCAAGGCACGGTTTGTAAGTCAAACCATTCGTTCCCATAGGAACAAATGCAAAACTGGTTAATCCACCCTCTACCACTAGGGGGAGAATTTTTTTAACCTAAAATGACTTAGGTTAAAAAAAGCAGGAAAGTAGGGAGATAGATAGAGAGAGAAGACAATGGGGGGAGGGAGAGAATTTGGAGTCTAAAACACACGCTAAACCAACACATTTTAAACCCACACATTTTACACCAACACATTTTAAACCGAGACAGCACAGACCCTTACAAAAAAATTTCTGATTTGCAAGGGGAGCATGCAGGAACCATTGCAAAAACAAAAAGAGCAGACAGAGCAGATTAGAAATGCAAAGAGAACAAAGCAAAAAACATGCTAGACACATCAAAAATAAGGGAAACCCCCCAAAAAGCAAACAACCCCCCAAGACCCATCAGAGATTGGGGGGGGGGACCAAAAAAAATCCAAACAAACACATTCCCCAAGACCCATCAGAAATGGGGAAAAACACTTCAAAAAGGAACCAAACCCCCCCATCGGAAATAGGGAGGGGAATGAAAAAACAAACACCCCCCCCCACAAGACACATCACAGCACGGAAACATAACCTCCCCAGCCAAAAATCACACTGCAAAAATACCCAGAACAGTTTTTAAAAAGTATAAAGCAGTACCTTACTTTAGCAGGCAGCCTCCTCGGATCACACACTCTCTAACTACTGGGGCGAAAGAGCTACAAAGAAGCAGCCTCGTCGCCACCTACAGTTAGCTATTTGAATTTGCTGCCCTTTTCCCCTGCCTTTTTTCTGTTCGTAAGCCAAAGCTCCGTTTGCAAGTCAAAGCAAAATTATGTGAACGGAGCTGTTCGTAACTCAAAATGTTCGTAGGCCAAGGCGTTCGTAAGTCAAGGCACCACTAAACCACTGATCCAGTCAGTTTAATAGCATGTATGAAAATGCTGATAGGTGTCCTTCTGCACTGTTGAACAATTTTACTCCTGCACTCCAATCTATAGACTGGAGGTTGCATCCTATTCAGATAAACAAATCCTACCTTTCAAGAGTTTGTAATTTTTTTCAGTATTTATGGGGATTTATGGAATTTTATGGAGAACACACATCTTACATGTGTCCCATCTCCATCTGTGAATCTTTAAACACTTAATCCCTGTTGCACAATTTGTGGCAGCAGCAAAAACTGGCCTCTCTCTTGGTGTTACCTGAAAATGTCACACACAAGATGAAGTTCCTTGTTTTCCAGGCTAACAGGGCTCCAAGAAGAGCTATTAGCTTTGTATACAAGGTGCAGGCATTCCACACTTTCCAGGAGGCTTGCAAACACTTTGCTCAAAAGCCTTCTGGGACAACTATTAGCTTGAGAAACAAGATGTATGCAAAGCCTGTGTTGATGGAAAAGAGGAAAACAAGTTAAACCCAGGTGTATTAGCAGCTGGGCGTAATACCTGGTGGGTCCAGGATGGAGGGGACAGCTTTGCCTCCCCCACAACCCCAGTCATGGCCCTAATCTATGATATCAGAAGCTCATCAATAACATCAATTTCCCCCACAACCCCAGTCATGGCCCTAATCTGTGATATCAGAAGCTCATCAACATCAATTTATTCAAAGAGCAGGACAGATTTATTATTCTAAATACAAAAGACAGTGCATTGACTTCAGTGTCCCCCATACCATTCAGTTTTTTGAAATTTAAACAAAAAATAAAATGACGTTTTAAAATGATCTATTACTCACACTGGTCTCCCCAGGTTTGCATTCTAGGACTCCTTTAAGTGACTGCACAGAATGTATAACACGCTGCTCAAACTGAGATGGCTAAAAAGAAGAGGAAAAATAAGAAGACAGGGCAAGATAAAAGCCAAAAATCAGTTTTTCCTTTTATTAAATAGCCTATTGCACAAAAATGAGCATATTTAATATCTATTTCAAACATTCCTATATTTCAAGGTGAAGAGGTCTAGTTTAAATGCCCAGTACAGTGGTGCCTCACTTAATGATTACCTTGTTAAACGACGAATCTACGTGATGATGAGGTTTTTGCGATTGCAAAATGATGTTTTAATGGGCAAAATTCACTTCCCGACGATTGGTTCTCTGCTTCGGGAACCGATTCTTCGCATTACGATGATCAAAACAGCTGATTGTCAGGGCTCAAAATGGCCGCCCGCTGTGTAAAATAGTTCCCCGGTGTGCTTTAGGATGGATTTTTCTCTGCACAGGGAGCAGAAAATGGCCGCCCTATGGAGGGTTTTCATTGGACGCTTAGGTATTTAGCCCACTGGAATGCACTGAACCGTTTTTCAATGCATTTCAGTGGGCATTTCAGTGGGATTTTGCTCTTCAGCGATTTCACTGGAAGGGATTATCCCCGTCAAATGAGGCACCATGTATATATTTTGTGTTTAAGTGGCGAGGGATTCAATTATCAAAATACAACTGTGTCATTTTACTTCAGCCAATGCAACAACCTATTATTTATGCATCCTTTATACATATCTATTACATGTTCTGTTAGTTTCAACCACCTTCTAAGATTCCTTTGTTAATTTTCTTACAATACACAGGTGTGTTTTCCCCTCAACAATTGTGTGGACTGGGGTGAAAAATAGTTACTCGCAGTGAGCTTCATGGGTGAGTGGGAATTTCAACCCTTGGCCTCCCTGACTGTGTGTGCGAGACACAATCCAATAAATCTCCATATATGTTCAAATATGCATAACTTTATTTCCTCACATTTGTCCTGTCTCATCTTTATGCAACAGGACTAGATGTTCAGGGCATATACCAGAGTCTAATTTTAGGTAGTGAGAGGAAGTTTTTTTTTTAAACAGTATGATACAGGGGGAAAAACAGATAAAAAGTGACTCATGCATGGGGCTATATTGCTGTGTCTTCATAAAAACTCAATAAAGCACAGTAGAACCCCTAATCCACAGGATCAGCATCTGCTGATTCACTCATCCACAGTTTGAAAATATTAAAAGAAAAACCCCAAATATACATATTTTTAACAGTGAAGTTACCAGAACTGGATACTAGAGGGAGCAAGAGATCATGCTATGTACAGCATTCACTATAACAGCTCTCATTATAATCCGCATTTTCCAGTAGCCACGCTGGGGTGGGTGGGCTTGGAACTGATTCCCTGTGGATACAGGGGTCCTATTGTAAAAAAACAGCAATACAATACAAATAAAAATATTTTCCTTGCCTGAGAAAGTTAGGCGAAGACAATGTGAATACCTATAAATTATCACAGCTAAAGGATGGAGGCATGAGACTAGATAGATGATGTAAAACTGTAAACTAGAGAAGTCAGATTTATAATTTTCAGGCAGTACACAGCCTGCAAAATCCATTAAACAGAGAGTGGGGATCTGAACCCAGGTCTTGCCACTAACTGATAGCAACTACACCACAAAGGTCACACACATGAAAATGAAGCAGTGTACCCACCAAAGAGGTGAAACCTTCATTATCCACAACCCAGTCTTCCTTTTCGGTCAGTCTCTTCACATCTGCCAAAAAAGGGTGTTAAAATGGTTACTTTTATGAAGTTCATCAAGCATTATAGACTGGATGTCAGAGCAAAATCTAATGCTGCATTCGTTTGAGCAGTGAGCTCAACAGACTAATTCCTCCTGTTCTTTCCGCTGCAATGTCAAAGGCTGTGGAGCTGGAGCTTGCACCACTGTCGATGATAAATGTTTTCCTTGTTTAGCTGTAGCCTTGGTCCTTTTTCTTTTTTTGGCAGTGGCTTTCCCGTGGCAGGTCTCTTTCTTTTCTTTGAAGCCACAGTCCAGTTTCAACATTGACTTTGTCGAAGTTACGTCTTTTGGAGGTATTTTCTGTGAGGTTCCAGATGTCGGTGTTTTGACTTGTGTCAATTTGAGTCCACTCCATCAGAATGGATTTGCAGGAGTATTACAGATGGTGACGGTAGTTCAGTCATCTCCTTCGAGACCGTGTCTATTGCTTTCAGTGACCTTTCCCAAATGGGACAATTTGAGACTTAACTACTTGTTTCTAGTGGTGACTTTTGTGAACTTTTTTACAAAATTGGCAAGACTGCATTTGATGACCTTCTCTGAGGTAGTAGAGGCAATTAGAGTATCCATCTGTGAGAAGGATTTTATTCTTACAAGGCACATGTTTTGAATGGGGCCAAAGAGGGCATTAAAAGGTGGTAACTAAGTAACAACAAAATACAATTTTTTTATGAGACAAAAAACAGATCTCTCTTTTTCTTTTCTTGCTTTGATGAGAAAAGGGCTAATAGATTAAAGGTAAGGGTGAAGACAAACTATTTACAGTAGTATTTGAGTGAAAACCAGCTTGTGGATGACCAATGAGGTGCTGCTTTAGTGGTGATCAAAATGGAACTGAGAGTTATCGCTGGGTCAAGAAGCATGTGCTAAGTGTCTTTTCTAGGCTCCGGAAGATTCCAAGGACATCTGTGCAGGCTCAGAACAAGCCATTAGTGTGAATCAAAGAGACCATGAAGGAAAACCCAATTCTCCTAAGCTGAATGAAATATAGTTTTCATTTTTAATATGGCTGCACACATTTACACAGTCTTGGTTAATTCTCTGGAACTACCTTCCTGCAAAACATCTCCATGGCAACTAAGAGAAATGGGCATTGTAGTGCCCACACTTAGAGTACACTACATTAGGAAAGGCTGCTCTAGAACAAAGATATCTATAAAGATAAACCCAGACATATGAAGGTTAAATCATGCTGAAGATAGCAACAATTAGAAAAAAACGTTCAGGAAAATAGTAGTATTTGTACAAATGATATTATACAATTGATAAGAAAAATAAAAAGGGTATCTCACTACCTTCAGCAGTATGTTGTAAAGTGATCATTATACAACGAACTCTGAGATCAAAAATAAGGTCCTGGATGATCTGTAGCATATCATTTGGAATTTCAAGTGCAGAGAGAGATTCATAAGTAAGCCTAGAAAACCAAAAGGGAAATAAAAAAGTGGTTGTGATGAGTTGCTCAAGAACTCGACAGAGCTGAACTGAGGGAATGAAAAAGTGGTTACTTACCTGTAACTATGGTTCTTCTAGTGGCTCCAGTGCAAGCGCAGTTAAACCCAGTTGTGTGCATTCACAGAGGCCACGTAGAAGAACTATAGAGCTGAACTGAGGGACTGAATCTTCTATTTGCTTAGAGATGAAGGCAGGCAGAAGTTCTGCACCAGCAGAATGGAACTGCTCTATACATCCAACATGCATTTTAGATGTTAAGAAATCACAACTTCTTGAGTAAGGCCTATAGTTTGTTGAATAGTTTTTAGAAGTTAACCCCAGAAAGTGGGGGGAGCTGATATCTTCACTATAGTCATGCCTCGCTTAACGATTGCCTCGCATAACAAGGAAATCACTATACGATTAGGTTTTTGCAATCGCTTTTACGATCGCAAAACCATGTTTTAAATGAGTTTTTTTGTTTAACAATGATCGCTTCCCTGCTTCGGGAACTGATTTTTGCTTTAAGACGATCAGCAAACAGCTGATTGCTGGGTTTCAAAATGGCACCCGGCTGAAGAAAATGGCCCCCCGCTGTTTTCTAGGACGGATTCCTCCCTTTACAGTCACTGAAAATGCCCGCTGCATGGAGGATCTTTGCTGGACGAGCAGGTATTCAGCCCATTGGAACGGACTGAACGGTTTTCAATGCGTTTCAATGGGTTTTTCGTTTCATTTGACAATGTTTTGGCTCTACAGCGATTTCACTGGAATGAATTAACATTGTCAAACGAGGCACTACTGTACAACCATTTTCATTGCTCTGCAATGGGTGGGTAATCCCCGAGTGGCTGTACAGGCCCATCCCTACACTTTGGTGGGCAGTAACTACAGTCCTCATCCCTTTTTCTTAGAAAAATTGGTTTTTAAAAGTGAAAATGGAAAGTCTGCCCACTAGTGGCCAATTTTTTTAAAATCTGGGATGGAGGGAGCCCAGGGTTGCTGGGAGGTCCTCAAAGTATGGCAATTTTGGTCCCACTCCTCCTAGACGGCACGAGGAAACTTTCCAAGCTAATTTTCATTTAAAATTTGTTTTTTATTTTTGGGATGTGGGGGGTGCTGAGGAGCCTCAGGGATGTCAGAGGAGCTGTATCTTGCCCATCCTTGGTTAGGACACTTGTGGTAATTCTACTGGCAAACATCTGCAAGTTCCCACACCTTTTCTCCTTATGTTTGTGTGTTACTATTTAGATTGAGAAACAGAGATGGCAAGACCAATACTATGTGAGAGTCACAACTTCTTCGCAGAATGTAGTTTGTACTTTTTAAAAAACTAGTTCTTCACTTCCAAGTATTCATATCAATACTTAAATTGCTATCCATCTACTTCAACCAGAGGAATAGAACAAACACTTGACTATTCCAGTTCTTAAACACTACTTGTTGTTTTCTTCCTTCCTTCCCTATCCCAACCACCAATTTCCTGGACTGGATCAGAATTGAAATATCATAACATTACCTGAAATTGTTTTGGACTGTTTGGCTTCACATATGACTCCAAGAGTGGGTCAGAAAATAATCTCAATTAATATCCCCCAAACATAGATCACGAAGTCAGACATGGCTTAACAACTAAACAATAACAACAAAACACAGATCCTACATTGTTACACCACCGTGCTTACCTAACTGTCTGAATGATATGAGCTAGCCATTGGCTGGAAAGTTCAGATTTCATCTCCCAGCCACCATATTCTCTCAGCTCACTTTCTCCAAGGCTAAATGGAAGTAAAGCACCACGAATCAGTTTGACCAGGGATTGCATCACTTGCAGAATCATAGTCTACAACAGCAAAAAGAAACAATAGGCACATGAACAATGGAACTTGCATGTAAACAGTTATCTGATAATAGGAACAATTATTCTCTTTAATATAGGCTTTTCATTAGGAAACTCAAAATATGCTTGAAACAAGTTTGTGAATGGGAGTATAGAAAGAGATATTATGTAACAAAATGTCACATTGCTAACAACTGGACATAAAACTGCAACACAGTTCAACTTAAATGTGTCAACTTAAAAGTACTGTAGCACCTCCAAGAAATTATTCATTTTTCTCTCTCTCCCATCTGCACAACAGCTCCCTTAGGATGTATATGTTTCTGTTTACTCAAAAGCATAGAGTTGGTTTATTTAACCCCTCTAATGCTTATTTATCCTGATTCTCCAAGGTCTCAAGTAGACGTCTTTTGTACTCTTGCTATCTAAAATCTTTTATGCAGAGAATGCAAAGGATGCCAAGAGAAGATCTCATCCCTGTAGTGGTGGCTAATTTAGGAAGTACATAATTTGTAATATATAGGGGTATATTCTCTGGGTAATTTGGGATGCGGTGGTGATAACTATCATGAGCTTTGGCTGCTGAGCACGGTCTCAGCTCCACTATCAGGTGGGTATGTGAAGTCAGGGCATGGACTATATAGACCACAACTAGAAATTATTTGTGTATAAGCTGCAGGCAATCTACGAAGGCTGGGAGGCAAATGCTCACCCTTCTTTCTCCAGGCAACCCCAAGATTTAAAAAAAATCCTCAAAGAGAGAACTGTGTCTTAAGGAGCTTGCAGGGAATTTAACTGTTCACCAAGTCTGTTCTGGAGGGGTCGGGTTGCCTTTTAAAGCCACAGAAAGTGTTATGGTCACTAAGGCCTTGCAGGCCTTATGGGTCCTGGCCCCTGTATCTACCTGAATACATGGAAACTGGAATAATTTAAATTCACTCTTTGATTTGATTTTTTTTTCCTATAGGGAAGGCAGAAGAATAGCAAAGTGAATTTTGCTAATGCTTCAAGGTGCTAACTGGGTTCCTCTTGTCATGGATTGGTTTATGTGGATTAAATCTTGTACTGAAGATGGGATATGTAGTAGTGAACAATGTAAAATGGATTCCATATTGGTTCTCTGTAGAACTGATTTCTGTATGCTGACAGTGTATTTCCAGAGGAATGTGGGAATGTTTTCTTGTAAGCCTGAGGAGAACATTCCTAGATAAGAAGACTGGGTAACTGTTATGGCGGAGCTGTAGATGTGCTAAGGACAAAAACACCTGTTCCCATGAGAAGAGAAGAAAGAAGATAAGTAGAAACTGTTTACCTGACTTCATGCCTTGATTGGATGACAGCATGAGAGACGAAGAAGAAGGAGGGTTCCAGCGAAGCTTGAAAAAGGAACTCTTACTATGGACAAGATTCCTTTTTTCTTTCATCCATTCTTTTACCTTTTTGGACTACTTTTCCAGGTCTTTTTGCCTGCTGCGCAGTGCAGGTAAAAGAACTGATAGAGATGTAGGGGACTAGGGAGAAAGGGGGGCTTTATGCCTTTTGCCCACCCTAATAGAGCTTTTTAGAGATTTTCTAGGATTTTTAGTGTTTTTGTATTTAAGGAGAATTATTGCTTCATTTCTGTTTTGTAACAAGCCTTGAAAATGGTAATGTGCTGGCTTATGCATTAAACTGACTTTATTTTGTGAAACTTTATATCTTTTTAAATAAAATAATAATTATAAAAATCAATTGGTCTCTTGAACAGTATAGCTGTCTTAGTATTACCCTGAGGGGGAATTTGGGCCACATTTAGCTACTGAGTCCTATCCTGATTGAGCTCAGTGAGTCTAAAGACTAGATAGCTCAGGTGTTTTTCTTTTTTGGAATTTTCTAAGGCTGCTGAAGTATCTTTTTAGGGCAGACTTGTGAGCAGAGGTTTTGGGGCGGCCCTTGGCTGAGGTTACCAGGACTCAGCCCAGCCTAATGAGGGAGCACAGGCTTCTAATTACTCTCTGTCCGAACGGTCAAGCCTCTCTTAGGAGAGCTGATCGTTGACACCTCTCTCATGTGGTACCCCAGATTTCTGGCTGAATAGGCAGGCAACTTTGCTCTCAGTGTACCTCCTCTGCCATATCTCTTGATATGGGGTGACCTGGAAGGAGACAGGATTTCATCCCTATGTTATCTGGGCATGGTTTGAATTATGCAACTACTGAGTGAGTACACTTTGATTCTATTAGTAAAGTGCTAATAGTTCCACCTATCCTTCCTTAAATATATAAAAAACAAAAATAGAAGAGCTGATGATCTTGCCTTTCTTCTCAACATCATTTAATTTCCTTTCAATATACAGGGGTGCCTCGCACAACGGGTGCCTCACACAACGATGAATTCACACAACGATGCCTTTTTCTGTTAAATTTGCCGCCTCACACAGCGATGTTTCCTATGGGGGATTTTCACACAACGATGTCTCTTTTTCGTTCCTGTAAAAGTGTCTTACAATGTTTGGAAGCCGTTTTAAATGCTTG